TGGGGGGGGGCGGGCAGCTGGCTGTTCTAGGGGACCCCAGTGTCACCTCTTAGGCAGTCTCTGGCATATAGTTGCCCAAGGATGCCAGTCTTCCTGTTAGTGTCATGGGTTGTGAAGTGCCCCCTCACGGGGTCCTGCAGGTGCCAAAGTGCTGCCCCATCCTTGGGCATGGAGGGACCAGCTAGTACAGCACCCCGTCATTTGGGCAGGCCCCTGCCTGTTCTGTCCCATGGGGAATGTGAGCCCTGAAGCTGTCCTTGAGCATATGGCAAACCCATTATTGAAAGTATTGAAAGTATCTTGAAACTGCCTCACAAGGTGCCTCAACTGAGACTGTCGCAGGGTAAAGACACCTGTTGCTACCACGAGCAGCTACTGTACATGGCACGTGAGCCCCAGGCACTGAGTGGAATGGATGCAGGGGGCTCAAACTTCTGGCTGCACAGAATAGAGGGGCAGCAGGGTGTTTCTTGAAGAAGAGATATGATTGCCAAAAGCCAAGTTAAAACTTCACTGGCCCTGCAGCTGCTGCTAAATTAAGGATTTTGGGTCCTTGCCTGCCATATGAAACTGCAGTGGTTGCCAGGCCAGGGAAGGGTTAACCTGGCTCTTGCTGGTGACACCTCTCAGCAGTGTCCTGATGCTTGTCTGCTCTGCACACCTGGGACTTGAACCCCTCTCTTGCAGTTCTGGCACCCCAGGCTGTAAAATCTATTAGATACCCTCTGGGGATGGGGATCGCATTGGTTCTTGTTCTGTATAGGAGCATTAGATGACCCACTTAACTTGTGGCATGCCTCCCGAAAAGATTGGCCACCACTGCCCTAAGCGTTTCAGTAACCAAGAGGTCATAGGATTTCCGAGTTAGATGTACTGACCTGGCACAGATTTACAGCTTAGTGTAATTCTAAAATCCATGGTTGTTGCTGAAATGTAGCTGTGTATATAGGTTCTTACTCAGTCTCAAATGAACTGCTGCCAGAGAGCTAAAAACGACTGCTCAAGAAAAAGGGCCTCAGCAAAATTAAGGTGGAACTAATCTTGCCTCTGGTATTCTCTGATATGAGGTATTCTCTGTGTGTCAGTGCCCTGTTCCTCTCTGTAATACCTGAGCACCTTAGAGATTTGCTGTATTTTATTTTTTAGGATTCTGTGGCTTTGATGAGGCTATTGAGGGAAAGGGCAGTGGAAAAAGCCAGGTTTGTATTATTCTGTAGGCTGAGGCCCTGTCTGTTCTGGTAGTGATTTCTGGTATTGGCCTCATGTCCTGCACTATTCATAATGATTTGCCAGGCTGTGGGCAGTACGTCGTTATGCTGCCTTAGGAGCCAGGACGATGCTGCAGGGTCATGATCCCCACGTTACTCTAGTGGGCCAAGGTAGGATTCACTATACCCAGCCAGATGACTACTGTGGGCTGAGTGGAAGTGTGAGAAACAGTGAGGTTGGTCCTGTATGGGAGCATTAGATGAGCCCCACAGTGGCTCAGAGGATTTGATCCTTCAGTCAGGCAGAGTTCCCAATCCAAAGTAAGTAAAATCAACCACGCTGACTACTTTCTCTGTCTAGCTCCACTCTGTTGTTGTATAAATGAATTGTCTCCTGAATCTCAAGGAGTAGTTGAGATCCTCACTAATGAAGCCTGAAGTCCATGTTTCTCTCTTGGTTTCTTTTTTCAGGTCAATTTTGTAGCCTGTCAGCTGTTTGCCCTACTGGCTGCCTTTTGGTTTCGCATCTATTTGAGCCCCAGTCATGCCAGTTCTGTTGTTCGTCATGCATTTGCCACTCTCTTTGGAATATACTTTGCTGTTTTCTGTTTTGGATGGTGAGTACTCAGTTTTCAGATAGACCAAAACTCATCTAGAAATAATGTTTTACTTTATTTGTGTTTAGTCTTAATCTTTGTTTGCTGCAGGTTTGGTGGGGGAAACCTATCCAACCCAGATCCCCAGAACAAAACAAAATGATTTGTGGAAAATGTTTGTAGATGTATATTTGTTTTATGAATGTCATGGCATTAAAGGGAAATTAAATTCCTGCAAAGACATAAAAAACTGAACAACTTTGACAAGATATATCCAGTGCTGGGTTTGATTGTTTTGAGAAGCAACATTTTAATCTCAAACAGATTGATAGATCTCTTTCAAAAGTTCTCTTCTATTTTAAATAAGAACTCTGTAAAGCAGCATTGTGAAGTTCCATCTTTACTGACTCTATATAAATGGACTTATTATTTAAGACCTGGCTTGACAAAGCCCTGGCTGGAATGATCCAGTTGGGAATGGTCCTGCTTTGAGCACGGTGTTGGACTAAGTGACCTCCTGAGGTTTCTTCCAACCCTAATTTTCTATGATTCTTTGATTCTATACCGAAGAAAAGCTTCTACCTCCTCCCCACCTCCAGCTACCTGGTATGCAAACGTGTTCTTGGACTAAATTTTGTTTTGTTTTTTTTACTTCAAGGTATTCCCTTCACATTTTTGTACTCGTGATGATGAGCTATGGCATCATGAACTTGGCGAGTATTTCCAACATCCACAGGTGAGGTGGCAAGAATTCAGCTGCATTGCACTTTCATCCAGAGACTGGCAGCAGCATGTTGTGTGTTTTTTTTTTTTTTCCCATGCCTTTCTTCCCCTCATTCCTCCACTTTCTAGCTGGTCACAGCAGCTTTGTGCATTTAATTGTAGTGACTGTTGTAGTCTAAGGGCCCCTCTAGATGTTCAGGTAAAGGCGTGATAGGATCAGATGTGCGATCCACACAATCATGCCTCCTGCCATGCCACGTGTATGGTAGAAGGCACGATTGTGGGATCCAGCATCAGATCCAACTGCACCTTACTGCTCATCCAGGGGAAGCTTGGGATCATGATCCCAAGGTCCCCCAGCACCAGCAAGTACCAAGCTTCTGCAGCTGTGAGTCCCACAGCTGACAAGACTTGCAGATGTGGCAGCATGTGGGATGCTGCCATGGCCACGTGCCTTGTCAGCTTGTGAGGCTTACAGCCACAGCAGTCTGTGGTGCACCCCTGCGGCTGGGAGGCCCATCAGCCACAAGGGAGCACCTAGCCACATGTTTGGTTAATGGCATGATAAGAATGAGGTGCAAAGTTGTTCCACATTTTTTGTGGAATAACTTTGTGGCTTATTCCGTGTTTTATCATGCTGTTAATTGACTGAATGAGTGGCCAGGTCACAACTTAAGATGTGATTAACTGGTTAATCATGTCTTACATGTAATGTGGAGATGGAGCCTAATTCTGTGGATTTGACTGATTAGTATATTCTGAAGCTGCACCATGTGTTGGGTTTTGGTTGTAGCCATGTTGGTCTAAGGCAGGGGTGGGCAAAATGGTCGATCCGGTAGAGTAGCCGGACTTCCATTTCCCAGCAGCCCCTGCTTGCATGGCTGGGGGCTGTTTTCCATGGAGAACCCAGCTGCAGCTGTGTGGGAAAGCTCAAGGCTGGGGTTGCCATGGAAACAAGCCACAGCTATGCTGGCAGCCCACATGGCAGAACAGGGCAGGGGGCTGCTCCGGAGCCGCTGGGAACTTGGGATGGGAGCAGCTTGCTCCAGAACTAGGACAGAGCCATGATCTGTAGCGTGCATGCTCCAGGCAGGGGCGTGCAAGCAGAGGATCATGCCTCTGCCCTGGCTCTGGAGCAAGCTGCTCCCATCCCAAATTCCTGGTACCTGTTCTCTATGGCAACCCCAGCCTTGAGCTTTCCCGTGCAGCTGCAGCTGGGGTCTCCATGAAGACTGGCCCAAGCCATGCACGGGGGCAGCTGGGAAATGGAGTCCATTGCCGACTGGATCCAGCCCTCGGGCTGGACTTTGCCCATCTCTGGTCTAAGGACATAGGCGGGCAACTGCATATCAGAATGAATGCACACCAAAAACCCATCAAAAACAAAAATATCCAAGCATGGGTCTAATAAAAGGTATCGCATCTACCTCAAGAGCCTTGCCCACTATGGTGTTTTTTACTTGCCTTAATGTAGATGGTGGCAGATTAGGAATTTACATGAAGACTTTATAATCTCTTAAGATTATCCAAGAGGATATCAAGCCACATCAGCTCTAGTGTTCTCCTGTACAGGATAGATATTGGAAACTCCATCCCATACAGTATGCTTTTCCCCCTTGCCATTTTGCTTTTAAGCCCTTTCCACTTGCTCCTCAGTTAGGCAGGCAAAATAATATCCCAGGCAGTTTAACTTTGTTTTGGGAAACAAGTCTGCATTTTGGCACTAGGCACTGAGCTTTACCGAATTGTAGGTATAGGAAGATTCCATTGCTTTGTTGTCAGGGAAGGCCTGTAACATCATCTATCAAATGTGGTGTTTTGTTTATGCTAATGTCATAAAGAGAGACACCTATAGATTCATAGATGTTAGGGGCTGGGAAGGACCTCACAAGATCATTGGGTCTAGCCCCCCTGCACTTGGACAGGAAAGACTGTTGGGGGCAGATGATCCTGGTAAGGTGCCTAGACTTTCTAAAAACACTAGCCAGCCATATGTTCAAAATGCATTGTTAAATTGTATGGGGTAGAAAGTATCCTAATAAAAATAGACAAATTCTACTGAAGTCACGGCTGATGCTTGCACTCGCTGATAGAGAACATACATAGAAGTTGTTAACTGTTTAATAATTCAGATACTTAAAGGTGTACAAATAATTCTTTCAGTCAAGTGTTCTGCAACCAGTTTTTTTCATGTTAGCATGTCTGACATTGCTGTTCTCTCTTGTTGTTCTGAATGGACAGTTGAAGATATAGGAGCAAAAGGAACTGGGTTTTTTTGGCAGTCTAGGAGATGTTCACAATGAGATGTTTTTGGCAGACTGAGAGTTATTCTACTTTTTAGTTTTGCTTTGGCTTGTACATTGCTTAGACTGTTTGATTGATTTTCCTATCCTATTTATTTTTAGGATGTTAGTGTGTCCTTCTTTACTCTCTCTGCATGCAAATTTCTGAACTTGCCTTTATTGTCTTAATTAAATACCCATGTTTACATTAGGTTATACTGGGTTAATTAAATACCCACGTTCACATTAGGTTATACCTAAAAACCCAGTTGCTTTCTTTGTTTATCATTAGGTGAGGGCTCTTTGGGGGCAAAATTCTGCTTTGCTGCTAAGATGTCTAAATGCCACAAGGTCCAAGTTTCTTAAATGACTAAGTTTGTACTACTGTGCATGCTCAGAAGTGATTCAGTGCAGCCATGAAGGTGCCTATAACTTCATTTATGCTGTGCTGAAAATTGGGACCCTGCCAGATGTTACACCTAAGACACGATTAACCTTCTAATTGTGCTGTAACCCCTGCTACATATTCAAGGAATTAATGGCACGACCATAGAGGAAACCAGGCAAAAAAAATTCCACAAAAATGTGTAGTATTTTTTGTGGCTGGTTTCCATTGCACATGTGGTAGGGTAGGAACAAACTAGGCTGGTTCTAGATTCCTGTATGGTCCCTGGGTTGAGATTGCCAAACAGGTGATTGTTGGTCACAGCTCTGGAACTGCACTGGAGCCAGTTCAGCTGATTGTCAAGTCCCAGGACTGGTTTAGTTTATGTTGGGCTGCAGGCTTGTCTTTTAATCAGCTGGTTCTGGGGGGAGCATGGGATCATGATCCTCCCTACACTGGCAAGTAGTAATTGTGCCGTTGGGATCTGATTCCCGATCCCAGAATTCCTTGTTCTGTCATACACACCAGAGGATGCAATTGTTGGGATCAAGGACAGATTCCATTGCGCCATTAAATAAATGTTTGCCAGTCCATTTCATTGTGGAAATGTAAAAATGCTGTGCACACTCCTGGAAGTATAATGGACTGAAAACTGTTGCTAGCAACTGTTTGACACTGCTTGCCGATGGTGGCCACTTTTGCCTTGTAGCCAAGGCACTTACCTGGGACATGGGGAAGTCATGTGATGGGATTTAAACCCTGATCTCCATCCATAACCAGAGAGTGTTCTGACCACCAGACGATGGGCCAGGGAGGACTATGAGTCCCTTCTATTAAGGCCAGGCCACTGGGGAGCCAAGAGGGAGGGTGTCATGGGGTCAGAAGGAGAACAAGCAAGAAAGAGCCTAAGTGTGGCTCAGGTAACCCTTACTTCAAGTATTGTTTGTCCATGTTGCATTACAGAGCCATAGGAAGAACTGTGTAAACAGCATTGGAGCAGAGGTCAGATTTCCTCACATGCTGTTTTACTTGCTTGAAAACTCCTTCCAGTAGGATTTGAAACCTCCCCCAAATAGGGTTAGAATAGATGTTCATACTGTACTATTTGGAAAACCTGCTAGTGGCAATGCTTATTGCTTTTACATGGAGGAAAGGACTGTTGGCAGACATTATCTAGAATCCTTAACCTTGTGTTCCAGGGTTTGGAGAGAGGAAAAGAATATTTGATGGACTGTCAGTAGCAAACCTCAACAGTTCCAGCATTTCTTTCAAAAGAATAAAGCCCACATGTACAGTAATGCCATAGCACTCCAGATTTCCATCAATGTAAGTGATACATTTGGCATTAAGTAGTCACTGGGTAAAATGATATGACCAATTGTGGGAGCAGGGACTAAAACCCAGAACTCTCCCCTTGCCAGGGAATGACCCTCTTCCCTGGGCCACTGAACGAAGCTGCCTCCTGGACTTAGGACTCTTTCC